AGCAGGGCCCCATACAGGCGTGGCTTTAGAAGGAGCCTTTGGAAAAGCAACTAAAATTAGCGTGCCCCTCCTTCCCCACCGACACGTGCCTCAGGATGCTGAGAGCCTCCGCCTCTGGAGGACTGAGCTATTTCAGGAAACTGAAAAGCCAGTGGAACACGCATTGCCAAAGGACAGGAAGTCACCTCTGAGCTGTTGTGACTCTTCTATGAGAAGCAGAACGTGTACCGCCGTGGTCCATGATCAGAAAGCAATGTCAGGTTTCAACTGGAACGACACAGAGGTATCCACGTATTTCATGAACAGCACAGGCGCCCCTTTCTCTCCACGTTCTGTATCCGTTGTCATGGGTGTGGTAATGTTTACCGTTCCAGGGCAGCCGCTGGGCACCTGACCACGTGCTGTATGCCTGGCGTCCTGGCTGCATCCAACTCCACAGTTCAGAACAAGAATCAGCTGGAAAGTCTGTTGGAAATATAAACTCAGGGCTCCCACCTTTCTCCAGTTTTTTATTTAGCAGATCTGGGCTGTCAGTAAAGTTCAAAAATGTTTTTCTTACGTTTGTAAGTCCCAAGACTTCTGAGAGCTTCGTTCTTGACCACACGGGAGAGCTGACATCCTGAGCCACCAGCCAGCCTGAAATCCCTCCCTCCAGGCAGCTCCAAGGGAGGAGAGGCAGGAGTGAGCTGAACTTGAAGGAGGACGAGTTCCCCCCAAAACAAGTGAGATGACTCCAGCCAGATCTTAATGAAAGGCCACAGGCCAAGTGTGGGTGAGCCAGAGAACCACAGAGGTGTGCACATCACGTGGTGGCACCTGCATGCCCAGTGTGCAAAGACAGCCTCAGGGAGGACACTTCCCATGGGGAGGAGCCCGGAAGGAGGCAGCTGCCACCATAGAAGGGCACAAAGCAAGCCCCACCCCACCTTCCACCTTAAGGGACAGAAGCCATGGGGGAGAGAAGCACCTTGAGGACCCACTGCAGCTGGGGAGAGGTCCCTTAAGGACGTGGTAGGACAATGTCCCAGGCCAGTACAGACCCTGTATTGCTGGGGCAGGTGCAGGCTCTGTCCTGCAAAAGACCCACCAAAGACACAAGGCACAGGGAGGAAGGGGCGGGGTCTCTGGGAGAGCTCTGGCCCCAAGACCCAGGATGGACCAGGACAACAGGAAGCTCCTCTGTACCCCCTCTACTGGGGGTGGGCAAGACTGTCCAAAATAATACAAACATCAAACCCAGAAAGTCAGATCCCAGAAAGTCGGAGAAAACAGCAGGATAAATACTGCAAAAACTCCCAGTTACGAATGTGTGGTCTGAGTCTGTGGATGTGCCTGTGGCCCTGACTCTGGAACTCACTGCAGCCTCATTTGCAAGGCTGTAAGAATGGGCTTCAGGGAGCCCTGTTCAAACACTGCAACCCTCCCACCCACAGCTGGTCCAGGGGTCGGTATTTGACCCAGCTGGAACGGGGAGGGAAGAGGAGGGAGAGGCCAAGGATGCAGTAAGACTCAATGCTTTCTCTAAGTGCTGGCAGGCATGCTATTCCACACGCAGACTGCATTACCAGATGAAGCTAGTCTCAGAGGAAGAGGAGAGCGGGCAGAGGTGGAGACAGTCACAAAGACTTTCAAATTCCTGGTTCCATTCTGTTCCTGAGACTCAACTGCAGTCCCCTGTACACGTCATGAGACACCAATATATGCTATTTTTATTTTTTAAATAAATACCTCTCCTTTTTAATCCCCATTTGCTTAAAGCACATCAATTTCTGGAGTCCTTGGCTAATAGGATTCAATTTCTTCTCATAACAGAAGACACTGTTTCCATTTTACAGAGGAAGAAACGGAATCTATGCTTCAAAAGATGCCAGCAGCCGGCACCTCCGCATTGGACTTGAAGACCCCGAATGTGGGTGGATGAACATGTTTGGGGTAAGCCTAGGACCATTTCTAAGGGAAGTTTTGGGAAAGACCTCCTGGATCCCCTCTACTCGAGGGATAAATCTAAACAAGACTAAGGGCTCTGAAACACCCCTAAAACTATGCTGCCTAACAACTACCCAGTGAGAGTGCTTCCCCGTGCACAGCCAATGGCAAACACCAATTGTTCCAGTTCCTATCAGAACATTTATCCAAGCTTTTCTCCTTACCAATAATTCACCTCTAGTGGCCGGGTGCGGTGGCTCACGCCTGTAATCCTGCACTCTGGAAGGCCAAGGTGGGTGGATCACCTGAGGTCATGAGTTCAAGACCACCCTGGCCGACATGGCGAAACCCTGTCTCTACCAAAAATACAAAAAAATTAGCCAGGTGTGGTGGTGGGCGTCTGTAATCTCAGCTACTCAGGAGGCTGAGGCAGGAGAATCACTTGAACCTGGGAGGCGGAGGGTGCAGTGAGCCGAGCTTGCATCATTACACTCCAGGCTCCGCGACAAGAGTGAAACTCCGTCTCAAAAAAAAAAAAAAATCGCCTCCAGTGTCAGGACTAAACCTACATGTAGGAGAAATATTTAATTTCTTAAAATCTGAAGGTTACTATGTGTTAGGTATTGTACTAAGCAGCTTACATTCATTGACATTTAATTTTCAGATTTAATTGTGTGAAGTAGGTATTACTGTCATCTCCATGTTACAGATGTGAAAACTGAGGCTTAGAGAAATAAGCTGTTCGAAGGCTACAGTAAGAGGAAGAACTAAGAGCGGAAAACCAGGTTGTCCAACACACGTCTGTCACTCAACCATGGCACTGTGCTGCCTTCTTCACCTACACTCGAACTTCGTCCCTTCAGCAATGTTTAGGGTTTTTTTCCTTCAACAAGTTCTACATTATATAAAACTAAGCAAGCCAACAAGTAGAAAAATGTATAAAGGTTTCGTAAGGGTTTCTAAATCATCCAAACAGTAAAAAGAAATTTTAAAAACCACAAAATAAAAACCCTTCTGGAAATATCTTTCACCAGGATGAGGAGGAATTTCTTGGCAGCCAGCAGAAAACCCTGTTCTCATATTTTCCAGTAAAAGAAACTGAAAAATTTCCTTTTCACTGAAGCACACGTTTGACGACTTCACTCACCATATAAGGAAGTGAGTGATTCTGCACTTTTCAGCCCTGTCCTTCTTTTCTGAGCACTAAATTTCATTTGGAAGTTAATACGTTATTTTAAAAGTAAGTCATCTATGGAAGATCCAAACTAAGTAAGAGCACTATTAAATTTTGAAGAAGATTTAAAGATTTGGATTTTGTTACATTCTGCCACTTTTTAAAAAGGTCTTTCTCTAAATTACCAAAAATGTCCCTGGCTACAGATGGGTAAGTTAAAAATACTTAGCAGTTAAGATTACTGAGGTTTTTTTGGTCACTGATGAAGCTGGTTTCTTAAACATACTGGACCTTTAATAACTGGTACGTGAAAAAAAACAAACAAACATGAATTTTAAATCTTATGAATCTCTTAACTTCCTGAATAGTAAAATGTAATTTTAACAGTAAAATTTGACAGAGAGGACCTAGGAGTTTTTGGTTGTTCCCATGTTTCATGTACTTAAAATCGATTCAAAATAAGCCCATTTATTTCAGTAATAAGAAAATCAGAACGATTATTTTATTCATAACAGAAAGTGATGACACTTAATTCTTTTGTTTTTATACAGAAAAAGTACAACCTGTAGTAAACTAGTTTTTGACAGGTGTAGATAAACCCATATTTTAAAAGCCAAATAACAATTTTTAGTAAGTTATTTGAATCAAATTATATGAATTAACATTCCTACTTTAAATTACATATGATGTCGAAGGTACCTACATGCAGGACTCATCAATGACACATCTTGCATCATTCATTTACCAAACTCTAAGGAGACAGTTATGATCCTTGCTTTCAAAGAGCTAACAATAACTGTGCAGAAATTGCTGAAAGTAAGTGAAACAAAAGGGGCGAAGAGAGCCTTCTGTGGCAAAGGAAAAGGCACAGAGAGGTAGTAGTGAGGTGTGGGTTGGTACAGACAACCATATGGGCAGTGTGCACCTGGAGAAGGTGACCCAGACCACAATGAACACAGAGGGCAGCAAAGGGAGATGCTGGCCAGAGGCTACAGGAGCCCAGTGAAGGAGGAAGGAGTCTGTTTGGCAGGAGTAACAGTTCTGTTGTCTTGGTTTTGTGGGAAATAACAAATAGTATTTATTAACAAATAATAAATAGCATTAAAATAGTATTAACTTAAAAAAAAAAAACCAACACAGTATACGTTCAGCGTCCCTAATCTAAAAATCCAAAATGCTTCAATATCAGAAACTTTTTGAGTACTAGCATCATGCTCAAAGGAAATACTCACTGGAATCTAACGCAAATACTACAAAACCTGAAACACATCTGGTCCTAAACATCTCCAATAATATTCAACCTGTATATGAAACTGTATGTACAGTTCATTAAACACACCCCAAATGAGGAAGGAGGTGCATGCAAGGGACGGTAGCCCTTATCTCTGGAGGGGAGAAAAGGGAGGTTTACAGGTTAGTCTTCTCAACAAAGTGTTCAGGAACATGAGCACTGTATCAGACTAAACTGGATCTGTATCCAGCCTCTTATTAGTTGTGTGACTTGGAAAAATAAGACTTTCACAATCTCAGTTTCTGAACAGTAAAAGAAAACAACGTTAATATTTAGCTATAGAGTTATGAGGATTAAATGAGCAAATATCTATAAATCATATTCAGTGAGGTGGTGAATAAAATGTGAGCTCAAGACCTACACTTCTGAAGAAGTCCACGTTTTCAAATTTTTGTAACATTTTTATAATCAGGAAAGAGAGCTGTTTATCAGGAGATAAGCTCTCAGTTAAGGCACAAAGAAATACAAAAAACTCCCACAAGATTCATGCAACAGAAAGGGACAGCAGCAAGTTGATAAAATTTTGTTTCTCCACTTTATACATTCTTCTACGGGTATGTATTTTCGTCACCGAATGGGAAAATAAAAATGAAATAAATATTGACTTACTGGTTTCCTAAGGAAGAAGACAGACAAAGCTCCAACTAAGGGCATGTCTCCGATCAACGGCTCCAGCATCACCCGCATGGTGCCATGAATCTAAACTCAAACAGGAAAAACCAAAACATGTAACAGAAGACAATTCTCCTGGGCCACTTAAGGAGTTTGCTTGCGCATCTTAGTAACTTTTGAGCACTTGACTTCTTATTTCTCTCAACTATGACCTACAGTTAAAAACTGAACGTCAAAACAATTCCAAGCTAGAAAAACTTCCTAATTTTCTTTCTGAATACAGCTTAGAGAACTTTAGAAAACTGTAAAATTAAAACAAAAACCAAAAACTTACCTGGATACTTTTCACACCAGCTCTACAAAAATATCGTTTGATCTCCAAATCAATCTCACAATTTCCTACAAAACTAACAAAGAAAAAATTCTGCATTACATAATGTGAGTGAAATGAACTACTCTCTTCATCACTATAGGCCTGCAAGATGTATAATCTGAATAAAATGATAGTAAAGCAAGCAAATAGATTGTAGGTAAAAATAGTAAAATACGGCCCATCAGATTACAGTATTTTACCGCTCCAGGTCTTCAGGCTGTTATCAGATCCAATACTGCTCTGACCTTGGGAGGAATACTCCCAATCAATCAATCAATCAATCAATGGTTGTGGTTGTTGTTGGTCTTACATATAAAAATCTTAACTAAATAGAAATGTCGATGTTCAAAAGAAGATGTAAATAACAAACTGCAACTTCTGAAGCAGACTTTTGATGCAATGTAGTTTTCTTTACCTTATAAATCTGATGTTTAAAACATTAAAAAGTTTAATTTTATTTCACACAAATAAATTTCACATCTTGCTTCCCAATCATGAAAAATCTCTTAGTGCCCTAGGCCTCTATGACACCAAAGACTAGAAACAGTGCATCTGTTTGGGGCCTCAATTTTGCTCAATAAGTAAGTCATTTCAGATATTAATATGAAACAAACATAATGCTATAAGGCAAGATATGCATCTATTCTTAATATAAACATGAAATGTCAAACACTTTTTGCGTGGGTTAGTGTAGGACCTGCCCCGACCCTCGGCTCCTGGAGGCAGGATGTCACACTCCGACCTGACAATGTCTGTGGGGAAGTTTGATAAATGCTAGAAAGGGAATGTCTAAGCAGATAAGCAAAATAGTAACGAAAGGAATCTGGAATAAGTTTCTTCCAGTATTTATTGTCCTGGTGTTAACGCCAAGGCCTACAGATTCTTCTCATTGAGAATTACTCTCTACCTAGTTGGTAAAATCACCAATAACCTGTTACAAAACTATAAAAAAACTTTCCTTTTCTTCATTCTATGACTTGATCATTTTCTTTTCTTTTTTTTTTTTTTTTGAGATGGAGTCTTGCTTTGCTGGCCAGGCTGGAGGGCAGTGGCGCGATGGTGACTCATTGCAACAGCCGCTATCTGGTTCAGGCCATTCTCCTGCTTCAGCCTCCCAAATACCTGGGATTACAGGTGTGCGCCACCATACCCAGCTCATTTTTGTACTTTTAGTAGAGATGGGGTTCCACCATGTTGGCCAGGCTGGTCTCAAATTCCCAACCTCAAGGGGTCCACCCGCCTCCGCCTCCCAAACTGCTGGAATTAACAGGCATGAGCCACTGCACCCGGCCTTGATCATTTTATTTTCTAATACTTTTCAATTATTCCCTCCCCATCTCTACTGCCTGCCAATTTAGTTAAAGTGTTTGTCTGGAACTCACTACAAAGCAGAATGCGTATTTGTTCAGAGACATAAATCTGAGCAGGACACTTGGCACACGTTATGGGAGCTAACCATGAAACCAGACTGCACCTTCAGAATGGCGTCCACTGACTGACGGACTCAAACTTGCTCGGTGCTGGGGACACTGGACAAGCGCACAAGGCTCCGACCCTCATGAAGCCTGGTACCCGCCCAGTGGGCCACCCTCCTGGAGGTGGACCGTCCTCCTGGGGCACAGCCTGACCCGAGACATACGTGGGTGTCCTCTTTTATTCCACTGATGACAATGGTGTTTGCCCTAGCACCAAATATTTTAAAGAGGCAGATTTTTCCATATTAGATTAAAGAAAGTCTATGCTTCTTTCTGAAATAAGGTAACTTGGTACCAACTTTCTGAAATAAAGGTAACTTGGTACCAACATTCATTATATTTAAATACTTTGGAAACTCAATGATCACTTTAATAAAATGATCTTTAGTAAAGGATCAAAAAAAGCACACAACTCTGAGCTGCTAGACACCACGTGTTGTTCTGAGTGCACAGTACTCACTGGGCACCACACACATTGTGTTGTGAGGCCCCACGTGGAGCAGGAAGCCCTGAACAAGCTCAAGGAAGAACGAGCATGAAAGACAAGAGAAGCCCACTTTTGAACCACAGCCCGGGGGACACAGCGAGACCCTATGGGGGGTGTGGGGGGAAGGAAGTCCATTTTTACTATGCTATGCATGGTAGCTGGCAGCTCTTCAATTTCTTTTTTTTTCCCAATGTAAAACACTGTATTAAAATACACAAAAATTTGGCTGGGCATGGTGGCTCACATCTGTAATCCTAGCACTTTCGGAGGCTGAGGCAGGTGGACCACTTGAGGTCAGGAGTTTTAGACCAGCCTGGCCAACAAGGTGGAAACCTTGTCTCTGCTAAAAATATAAAAATTAGTCAGGCATGGTGGCATGTGCCTATAATCCCAGCTACTCGGGAGGCTGAGGCAGGAGAATTGCTTGAATCCAGGAGGCGGAGGTTGCAGTGAGCTAAGATCGCACCATTGCACTCCAACCTGGACGACAGAGACTCCGTCTCAAAATAAATAAATTAATACCCAAAAAATCTACCCTTATAATCATTTTTAAGTGTACAACTCGGTGGTACTAAACACGTCCGTAACGTGCAACCATCACCACCAGCCATCTCCAGAACATTTTTCAACTTGCAAAATGAACACCCTTCCCCCATTAAACACTAACTCCCCGTTCCTGCTGCCCCCAGGCCCTGGCAACCACCATTCTGCTTCTGTGTCTGAGTTTGACTCCCCCGGGCACCTCACACAAGTGGAATTATGCAGACGCTGTCCCTTTGTGTCTGGCTTGTTTCCTTCAGCATAAGGTCCTCAAGGTCCAGCATGTGGCAGCCGGAGCAGGAGTCCCATGTTTTTAAGGCATACAGGCATATAGGCCACATTCTGCTTATCCATTCATCGGCCCACACAGACTTGGGCGGCTTCCACCTTGTAGCTATTGTAAAAAATGCTGCTAAGAATGTGGGTGTGCAAATATCTGCTCAAGTCCTGGCTTTCAATTCTTTCAGGTATGCACGCAGAAGTGGGATTTCTGGATCACATGGTAATTTTACATTTAAGGTTTTGAGGAACTGTTTCCACAGCAGCTATACCATTTCACATTTCTACCAACAGCGCACAAAGGTTCCAATTTCTCCACATCTCACCAACACTTGTTATTCTCTGGGTTTCTTTTGATAGTAGCCTTTCTAATAGGTGTTAGGTGGTATTTTATTACGGTCTAGATTTGCATTTTCCTGATGGTTAATGATGGTCAGTATCTTTTCACATGCTTATTAGCCATTTGTATATCTTCCCTGGAGAAATGTCTATTCAAGTTCTTTCCACATTTTTGAATAGGGCTGTTTGGTTGTTCTGTTGTTGAATTTCAGGAGTTCTCCATATATCCTGGATGATGACTGCTTATTGGATTCATGATTATAGGGATTGCATTAAATCTGGGATTGTTTTAGGTAGTAGTAACATCTTAACAATATTAGGTTTTCTAATACATTAATTAAGATAGAATGTTTTTCTATTTGTACCTTCTTTGATTTCTTTCAGCAATATTTTAGTTTTCAGTGTACAAGTCTTTCTCCTCCTTAGTTTATTCCTAAGTATTTTATTCTTTTTGATTCTATTATAAATGAAATTGCTTCCTTCATTTTCTTTTGGGATTGTTCATTGCTAGTGTATAAAAATGCAATTGATTTTAGTGTGTTCACTTTATATCCTGCTACTGTGCTGAATTTATTTCTTAGTTCCAAGAGTTCTTTTTTTTTTTTTTGGTGGGATCTTTAGGGTTTTCTACCTATGAGATCATCTCAACTGTAAACAGAAATTAATTCCTTCCAGTGGGTGCAGTCACTCATGCCTGTGATCCCAGAACTTTGGGAGGCCAAGGTGAGTAGATCGCTTGAGCTCAGGAGTTAGAGACTAGCCTGGGAAACATGGTGAAACCTTATCTCTACAAAAAAAATACATAAATTAGCCACACATGGTGGCATGAACCTGCAGTCCCAGCTACACGGGACACTGAGGTGGGAGGACTGCTTGATTCTGGGAGGTCAAAGCTGCAGTGAGCCAAGACTGCGCCACTGCACTCCAGCCTGAGTAATAAGGTAAGAACCTGTCTCAAAACAAAAACAAAAACAAAACCAACAAACCAAACAAATATATATATATACACACACACATATATAAAATGTCTTTCTTCCTTTCCAGCCTGGGTGCCCTTTATTTCTTTCTCTTGCCTAACTGCTCCAACTAGAACTCCCAATACTGTGTTGAAGAGAAGTAGTGAAAGAGGGCATCCTTGCAGTTGTTCCTGATTTTAAACAAAAAGCTTTCAGTTTTTGACCACTGAGTAAAACTTTTTTTTTTTTTTTTTTTGAGACGGAGTCTCGCTCTGTCGCCCAGGCTGGAGTGCAGTGGCGCGATCTCGGCTTACTGCAAGCTCCGCCTCCCAGGTTCACGCCATTCTCCTGCCTCAGCCTCCAGAGTAGCTGGGACTACAGGTGCCCACCACCACGCCTGGCTTATTTTTTGTATT